AGAAAGAGTGTGTGTGTGTGTGTGTGTGTACGGACCCCTTTAGGTGAAAACACTCCGACAGTTCCTCCATCCTCTTTAATGGACACTCCCATCTCTGCCAGAATCGACTCCCTGCACACAGGAAACACAGCGGTCACATGACCATCTGAGCATTTACATCACGCTCAGAACTGAATTTGAATTTGAAGTCATTTCCACTCCGTTCGTTTATTTTCAGGGGCACTGCGACATTTTATCATGATGAAATATATTGAAATGAAAAATAACATGAAATATAAAACAATGAAAACTCATGAAAACTATTTGCCTCTTTAAGATGAATCACTAGATGTATTCCCCAAATTCTAAGTCACTTTGGATAAAAGCGTCTGCTAAATGAATAAATGTAAATGTAACAATTTATTCAAGTGACTCCTAAAATTTTATTTTTTTATTATACATTACTTTGTGCTTGTAACTGTAATATTAATATTTCTAATCAAACAGCCCCATGCTGGAATTATTCATGGCAAAAACAAACTGTTCTGATCTGACAGATCAGCACTAAACTTCACGTGTCAATTTTGCTGCTTGATATTACAAATTGGTGTGGCTTTCCATATTATTTTAATGAATTATCTTAATTATGAACACACTGGCTTGTAATGCAAACACAGTTTACCGTTTACTGCGTTATTTCCCTACAGCAGCTAACGAACCAGAAGTCTCACACATTCACAGAAAACAGCTTACGTGGATAGCGTTTATTATTTATGAATAAGATGATAAACACATTTTTTATTAAAATTAAAAAAAACAATATTTCATGTACACAATTATTTTTTTGTGTTTTTTGTTCAAAACCACTTGCTAGAAGCTCTTTTTTTTCACAGAAGCATTTATTTTTCAGCTAATAAAATATTTTGTGTCCATTTATTTATTTGTTGACTGTCATCTGGGGTTTAGTGACAGACCTGAGACAGTAAAACCAGTGTGCTTTACCTCTCCAGGCGTATAGACTCGGTCTTCCTCAGCTTCTCCTCCCACGTCTCATTCAGCTCAGCGATGATCTTCTCTGTTTCCTGCGCGCGCACACACACACACACACACACACACAAGCGTTTGTGTCTGAGCACAGGATGCTGATTATCTCATGCTCCGCCCACCACCATAGCCCCGCCCTCTCGTACCTTCAGTCTCTCCACTGCCTCCTCATTGGTAATCATCTCGCCCTGAAACTCTTCTAATTGGCCATGGCCATCTAGAGAGGCGGGGTCACTCTCAGAGGCGGGGCCTTCTCCTGGGACAGGTGCGGATGTGGGTGGAGCTCCATTGGAGGCGGGGTCAGCAGGCATTAGAGTGACGCCCACATGGTTATTATTGACTTCAGCAGCTAAAAGACGAATAGAGACATTTTAAAACTAGTGCTGTCAAAATTAGCGCGTTAACACAGGCGATTAATTTTCCCAGTTTAATGGCGTTAAAAATATTTAACGCAGTTAATGCAGGGGTGTAGCTAGGGTTGGCCACCCCACTCACAACTGCTGCTTCTGAAGGGCACAGGTAAATATGACATTTATTATAAAGGGTTTATGTGAAGATTGTTTTAAGTTCACTTAAATTAGAAGTTATTTTTTAAAGTCTAATAAATTCTAAAATTGATAGTGCTCAATTATACTGTAATGTTAGTATAGTCAACATTACATATAGTGTCACAGTGTCTTGTTGGTGTGCCCATGTATAGCCACCAGAGGGCACGCTTCTTAGTTTTGTTTGTTTCTCTGGACTTCAGTTCCACCCTTTGCTTTAACTATCACTCCGGAGCCCACTCAAGTCTATGAGCTCACTCCAGAACCCACTCAAGTCTATGAGTTCCCTCCAGAGCCTACTCAATGAATATGCACTATTTAAAACATGACTGTGTGTATCAAACATTTATATTTAAAACTCTTAAGTGTGTAATGTGTGTGTGTGTGTGTGTGTGTGTGAGTGTGTGTGAGTGTGTGTGTGTGTGTGTGAGTGAGTGAGTGAGAGTGTGAGTG